CTCTGACCCATTGAAAGTACAAACTAAGCCCTAAAGTGATTGAAAAGGTAAACGTATTTGTCTACTTCATGTCAATCATAAGCTTCACATTATCGTGCATTCTATCCACCCCCCAAAACCCGGTAATAGACATCATCATTTTCTTAAATTGTCATTTTTTCATTTGACTGCCTACAACCCATATATACACAAACACCATCGTTTGACGCACGCAAGAAACCCAAATACAAAAACCCATCCAGATCAAGATCAAGGACCATAAGCGACTCTTCCACGAGGATTTTCGCTCGAGTAGCCTGGGGCCAGGAAATTAGTTTCTGGGTTCCCTGTCTCCTTTGCTGCTGAACATCTGGCCATTGTTGGGGAACTGTATCTTGTGTTAGTTTTCGTGTCTCCGGCGATTGAGGGGCGAGAAGGGTGAGGGTGGGGAAAAGGGAAATGAGATGTGTGTGAACTAACCTTCTTGAAATAACGTCTGTGAAGTAAAAGTTATCAATAACCTTCTTCAAAGGCGCACCTGTTGGCTTGCTACCCTTGTTCTGATCTACCAATTGAACCTTGCTCAATTGTCTAAGAGCAACTGGTTCAACGACATCATAGCTAGCTAATGAAGGACTAATCTCTACCATACGATCACGCAGAGCAGCGACATCATCATATGGTAATGGAGCACCCAAGAATTCACTGACTGCTCGGATAATCTTCCAATCAGTTCTTGCGGCACCGGGTAATGAAGTAGCGGCACGGGTCATTTGTACACGTCCTTCGGTGTTGACATATGTTCCGGCCTTCTCGGTATATGCGGCACCTGGAAGAACGACATCGGCGATTTGAGCCCCACGATCACCGTGATGACCTTGGTAGACAATAAAGGCGTTCTTAGGGATATCAGCAGCATTAAATTCATCAGCACCAAGTAACCAAACAAATTTAGGCTTTGTCTCGGCAACAGCTTGGGAAGGTGTGGTGAAGCCAACTTCGAAAGCACCAGCTCTTGAGGCAGCACGTTGAAGAACGTTGTATCCATTCCACTCCTCAGTCAAGAAATTCGAGGCGTGTTTCTCAACGAAGGTACCAACTGTCTCGTACATAGCCTTGGCATCAGCGTGGTCAGTGACACCTGAACCAACGATAATCATTGGTCTCTTGGCCTCTGCCAGCTTTTTACCGAAAGGTCCAGCCAGAGTCTCCTTCAAGGCGGCAGCATCAGTACCGAGATGCTCAAATTCGAAAGTTGATTCCCATGCTTCACCGACGACACCAATTTCAAGGTCAGAGCGTAACCATTGTTTGCGGATACGAGCATTAAGACCAGCAGCTTCGTGTCTAGTGTTGCTTCCAACGATCAAAATAGCATCGGCTTCCTCTACACCCCAAATCTTAGAGTTGAACAAGTAATTCGAACGAACGTCGATTCCGTGTGGCATTGGGGCGTTTCCAGATGGTTGATCAAGAGCCAAGTTCTCAGAGCCAAGCTTGTTGGCAAGATCCTTCATAGCAACCATAGATTCAGTCTCAATTAATTCTCCAGCAATAACTTTGAATTCGTTACCCTTTGGAGCAAAATCTTTGTATGCTGCACCAATCTCAACCAAAGCTTGCTCCCAGCTGACTGGAAGGAATTTTCCATCCTTCTTGATTAATGGGGTAGTGAGTCTTTGTGTTTTCAATCCATCACAGGCAAATCGTGTCTTATCGTTGATCCATTCCTCGTTGACATCGTCGTTTAATCTAGGGAGAATTCGCATAACCTCGAGACCTCTCGAGTCGACTCGAATGTTTGATCCTAAGCCGTCCAATACATCAATAGATTCGGAGTGCTTCAATTCCCAAGGTCTAGCTCTGAAAGCGTATGGTTTTGATGTAAGAGCTCCAACAGGGCACAAATCTATAATATTTCCAGACATTTCGGAATCCAGGTTCTTCTCGAGGTATGTTCCAATTTGTAAATCGTTTCCACGTCCAGTCGATCCGAGTTCCGGTGCACCAGCAATGTCGTTTGCGAATCGAATGCATCTTGTACATTGAATACATCTGTTCATCGAAGTCTTGATGAGGGGTCCAATATTTTTATCCTCAGAGGCACGCTTGCCACCAACTTCGTGGAATCGACCACGATCAGCTCCATATCTCATAGATTGATCTTGCAAATCACACTCTCCTCCCTGGTCGCAAATAGGACAATCTAGCGGGTGGTTGGCCAATAAAAATTCCATAACTCCTTCTCGGGCTTTGTGTGTGAGGGGTGAACTGGTCTTGACGACCATGCCGGGCTGTACCGGCCATGCGCATGATGCAACTGGTTTTGGTGCTTTTTCGACTTCAACTAGACACATACGACAATTTCCAGCAATCATAAGCTTCCTATAGTAAAACATTCGGATCAGTGGGGTTGGTTCGTAATATGCGCAGTCGTGTCGACTTACTCATGATAGCAATATCTATGAAAGTGTTAGCAGAAAACTTCAGCACATAGATTTTCTAGTAGAAGCTTGCCTTGGGACTGTGACTCCTGCTTTCTCACATGCTTGAATTAAAGCAGAACCAGCTGTGGCGTGTCAACAACTTTTTCCTATCTCAGTTGTAATCATTCCCAGCATACCTTCTATAGAAACTTGTTTGCCATCTGGTATAGAAATTAGCCAAATCCTCTGTGATGTCTTTCGCAGATCCAATGCTGCTTACCAACAGTAAGAGTAACCTCTGCCTGTCTTCTACTTGTAGTCGCGAATGTTCTTGCAACATATAAACTTTGTCTACTGCTTCGTAGAGCGGATCTCGATAACGTTGACCTCAGCATGGTGTGTATGTAGGATCTGGGTGTGAAAAGAAGAAAGAAAGAAACTCCGCAGTACAAAAGAGGTGGCGAGGGGAGACCCTTCAATTGATTAATTATCTACTTCTTTACCCCAAATTCATTTGAAGCTCTCGTCGTTCGGATGTAACTTGTTAGCGTATATCGTGGAATTTACTAATCCCGTTCCCCGTCATCATGATTGGTTCTCCCAAGATGACTAATATTTCACACTATAAAGTTCTTCACATTCGGAAATTTTCTATCCTTTTTCTTCTTTTCTTCTTCATTTAAATTGTAATGGACACTTTTATTGTGGGTGTACTTGAGTGAAGCAATTCACAATCAATCGAGTCTTCCTCTATCTTGTGTTCTAGAAGAACATATACTGAGCGCTGGAATGGATGCAAATGAAATCTTTTCTACAAGAAAGCTTTATGAATGCGCAACTTACCGCCGGCTGCTACATACTACTTGAAATTCCCTAACTTCTTGTGCGCCGTTGATGAATCCAAATCGACGACATGAACGGCCAAGAATCGAGAATAGTTCGTGAATTAGACTTGGTGACGATGATCACCCTCTTTCTGGATCGTGGTTTGATTTTGGTCTGTTGCTCTCTATATATATATATATATCATTTTGACTGTTGTGATTTATTGAAACTGCTTGGCCACCACCTACTATAAAAAGCTATCGCTATGTCAAAGTCACTCATCCACTTGCTGATGTAGCCGTCAAAATCTTGTTCGTCTTGAGGACCTCGATTCCTCCCAATTCATTGTGTGCCAAAAAAGCAAACACCGTTCATCTAGATCTTTGCGCCAATTACTGAGGCCGATTTGAATCATTTGGCCAAAACCCCAAAAATAGATTTTCGTTTAAGCTAAAAACATATTTAGAATTTAGTAGTATGCTTTTATATTAAAAAAAGTATTCAATTTAATACACAACCTTAAAGGAATTAATAAAATGAAAAGAAAAGAAACACAATTATTAATTAGAATTCAAGGAATCGATTTATATATTTTTTTCTAAATTATCTTGAAAATTGAATTTTATATTCAATTTAAAAGTATTCTAATAAATCTGAATAATAATCAACCTTTAGAATCTAATTTTTTATTCTTCAAATAGTATCATATTGAATATAAATTTCAGTTTTTGAGATAATTCAAAAAAAAAATATTAATCGATTCCTTAGATTTTAATTAATAAAAAGGTTTCTTTTCTTTTTATTTTATTGATTTCTTTAAGGTTGTATACTGATTTAAAAGATTTAATAATGATAATATTATTCAAGAACTGATTAGTCATCAAGCCTAATGTATAAGGTATCAATATAAAATATAATAAAAGTAGTTAGAATTGAATATAAATTTCAATTTTTGAAATAATTGAAAAAGAAATATATTAATCGATTCCTTGATTTCTAATTAATAATTAAATCTCTTTTTCTTTTATTTCATTAACTCCTTTAAAGTTGTATACTGAGTTGAATTGTTTTCTTTAAATATTATAGAAACTGATTAAAGCTATATTAGTTATGTAACTTAAGCGAAATAAACTTGAAATAAGGAATTCTTACTAAGCTTATTTCGCTTATCTTCAAGTAATCTATGTATTATAAGGAAAACTATTTGAAAATAGATTTTAAATATTAATATACTTTTTATAGAAAATTTCGAAATGAAATTTAAAAATATGTGAATAAAGCTAACTCTAAGGGCTATTCAACGATATAATTTCTTTTATAAAAAGTCTTTAATAAAATTAAATTCTATTTGTCTTTATAAGATTTCTATAAATACATCATACAGATTCTAAAATTTCTTTTTTCATTAGGCTAAAATCTATTTTTGGGGTTTTGGCCAAATGATTCAAATCGGCCTCAGTACAATGGCAATGCAAAATTGCCTGTTCCAGATACACGAAACAGTGCCTTCTCGCGACGATCTCTGGCACGTTTATTCCAGTAACCTGAATGTACGACTTGCTCCCAAACTCTGCACCTGGTCCAGGATAGCACCTCGTCCTTACCGTTGAATGGAATATTGCTATCGATGGAAGAATCATGTCTATTGTTTTGGAAGTCTTCACACGACTTATCCGAAGCTGATAACAGATTAGCCATGCATCGCTGACATATGTCAACTGCCGTGAAATGACAGCTTGCCTTGGAGTTGTGCATTTCTGAAGGGACATACTAACTTGGTTCAATAAAAGGAATGATTTTACCAATCGACATGTAATATCTACCTCTTGCGTTCTCAAAATTCATTCGATGATCCTCGCGATCCCTCCTACCGATTGTAAAGTTTGTCCTCTCTTTATATCCTAGTTCAAATAACTCCTTGTGAGCAACATTCATGTGGAAGATAGGCATCAGCGCCTCGAGATCTTCCGAAGACGAATTATTAGCATGCAAGCCGACCTCTAATCTGCCTATGCCTGGCAATTCCAGACTTGGGAACGAAGTCGTGATGACCTCAGTCAATTTTCTGAGTTGTCCAAGTTTATAACGTTGCTGCTTTTTGATTGGAACCTCTGTTTTGTGGTATGGGAATTCAATATGGATTCGGACATCTCGGACTCGCCTCAAGAGTGGTAAATACGTGCGTAGGACCGTTTCTACGTCGTCGACGAGCATACTAGGCGGCCACATATTCTTCCAGGGTTCCCCCAACCATGATTTGAGCTCAGGCTTAAATACCTGCACGATACAGAAACGAAGTCGAAGCCTAGCTTGGCCATAGATAAAGTCTTCAAACCTGTCGTGTATCTTTTTGTTGACGTAAAGGAGAGCCATCTCACTCCGAACATCGTCGGACTTGATCCTATCATAACGTTCATCCGTCACATCCATCACACGCCTTTCTACTGCGTTCTCAAACTTGAGACTTCCGAAAGACCAGTAATGCGCAAAGATACGCAGATGCATTTCGGTAGGAAGCAAGTCAAATGCTGGCATCGATTCTGTACTTTGAAATTCGGGATCACTTGCTTTCGGAGGTAGTGAAGACATTGCGAGGAGTTCACTGAATCCAGATTAGCAAACTCATGAGTAATAGACAAGCGGCTACACTCTTCGAAGGCGGGATTCTCAGCTAGTAAGCAAATCTTCGCTGTGATCTCTTTTTCGGGGCCTCAAGAAGGTTCTTTGCTGGAGCGGCAGATCGATGGTAAGATGACAGAAAGTCAAGATGAAGGACAAGAGTCAACCCCCTAATATTTCGGAATCTAAAATACATTTCTGCTTACTTGTTTGCTGCAAATGATGTCCTCCACTCACCTGCTAGAGGGAATCATGAGAACTCCGATGATAGCAACAAATAACCTGGGAACTTCTCTCTCAACAAACAACTGAACTTCATCCCATGTATCTGACAGTGTCAGGTGATACTATCCCTCAATCTTCTTGAATGATCTTGCAACCACAAACAAAGACACAAAAACGATAAGGAGATACTTTGCTACAAGATTTGGATTGGGCATCTTGATTTGGATATTTGCCTTTGCCTGGACATGTATCAGGACCTCACAAGCAGCTAAACTTTGATTGTCAAAATTCCAAGCTCTTTTCAGTTTCTTTCTGGGATTTTCATCGCAGATAGTCATAAGATACCAATGCATGAAGGGGAGTTTAATGGCAAGATGTACCAGGGCTATCAGCAGCAGTCAGGTTGAGTCTGTAGTGTTCGTTGAACTACTGCTCTGGTAGCTTTGGTAGATTCATAGTTGATAAGGGGCAGATCAATTAACAAGCTGCATACTACCAGATACGTACATTCACCAGCGCTTTCTCAATGCATAACGTAGGATGCTTAAGAAATTGAGAAATTTTGCGTATCAGCAGCAGAGACCTACCTGCAAAGAAATCAGATGACAAAGGCGGCTTAGCTGCTTGGCTCTTCTACCCCCTCACTTCAAGTCCTCAAATCTTTTCAATCTAGTTGATTGATTTGATCTTAGACAGCTGATTTCTCAGCAGAGTTTTGTTATATTGATAGGTAATTGGATAAGGTATGTGATTTCATTCAGGCTTTCTTTGATGGAGGAAGGAGGAAGGGGGAAAGCGGGGAACCTGTTTGAGATTCACAAGGATGAATGGCCTCCCGAGGTCGTGATTGAGAGCAATTTGCAAATGAAGACTGACAGAAATTTTCCCGTTAATTCTGTCTCAGGTTAAGGGCTGTTACTGTATTGATTCGAATCAGTGAATCTTCCCACAGCTAGGAAGACGAAAAAACTTGAAAACTTGACGAGAAAATATGCAACAATCAAGAAAGCTACTGAGATCACTTGCAGATGGATCTGTGTAACATTTCCTATAGTTCTAGTACACACATTCCACAGATGGTTAGAATATGCAGTATACCTGGGTAATAGAAGCCAGAGTCTTGCTGAACTGAGAACCCAGTTAACAGAGCCAAAAAAGACTTGTAGACATGTAAATACAGGCTCTGCATAATTGTGATGAATGTCCCATTCTTGGACAACCTTGGATAACCTTGGAAAGCTTTACTTCACTATTTCTTGTTTGAAACTCCATATGGTTAAGTATGATTGATGTCTTTCATCTTCATGTTATGATAGAGAAGGAAGAAACAATTAGGCGAAGCTCGAGTGAAACTTCCAGGGGAAACAATGATTGGCCAATGTGAACACTGAACTTCAGTACATTCACTTTTCAAATTTACTAATCGAAAACAGACGAAACTGAGAAGTCCGAGGTCATTGAAAAACTTTTCATACTCATTTCATTCTGTACTAGCGTATTCTATCAGTTCGGGCAACATTCTCGTGACCTTGAATTATATTCTCAGTAGGATAAACAAACAAGTTCTCAAAAAGACAAAACAGAACAAAGTCTTCAACCACACACAACAAGCCTCAAAACTTTCTGTAATTCTTCTCTTGAGTTCTGCATTCGAAAAAATATTAATTGCTGTGCAATAAATTCTTTTTCACCAAACACAAATTACCTCAACCTCGAGGTTCGAACTGTCTATTAGACAAGTCATACAAGATGGATTACAGCAACGGTCTTGGCATCTCATTTGGCACAAACTATTCAGAATTTGAGGAACGCGATGGCAGTTACGAAGAAGCAATTGAATCCGACAACCATCATCGAGTTCACCATGGCCAGCAGATGGAAGACAGTGGAGAGACGTCAGGATATCAACCATCTTTTGAGTCTCAACTTGCCGATCCAGAAATTACTCCCCGACCAAACTCTTCTTACCAAAACCAATTCACCCCTATCAACCAAATTTCAAGTGGTGCACAAGCTCAATCCTATGGTCAACCATATCAACACAGTCAGCCCAGCACTTCCTTCCATCCTTTGAAAAACAGTGGACATCTTCAAGGTCACATGAACGCTATTCTTGCTTCACACAACGACTATGGCCAACCCATTCCTCAAGCTTTGCAATTTGGCGCAGATCCTCAATTCAATAATCATGGTCATCCTGATTATGGCTTCCAGAGCATGTCGGATCAAACTCGAATGGATACACAACATGGCTTTGGAAATTCTGATATGCAACCTCAGAAATTTACACAGAACATCAACCAGCAGTATGTGTCTCCTGCAGGTATGCAGCACCAAGAAGATCCTACTCATTCCCCATCCAATAATCTTCAGACGTATAGAAATTTATACAGGAACCAAGAAGATTTCACCAAAGTGAGCGATTGTTTGAGCTTTCAGCCAAAGCCCGGTTCTTTGAGATCCAGTCGCTTTCGTCCAGTTTATGATAACACAAGTCAGGTGCGAAATCAACTTGGCGACCAAGTGCAAAGTTCATCTTCTGCAAGACAAGGGAATATTTCAAACAAAAACAACAGAACGTCCGGTCGTGCTCCCGGAAAGAAGGGTGGATCAGCCGAAGAAAGATACTGGAATGGATTCGACACACATCGCTCAATGTGGCCTGTTCAATGTCATATTATCGAAAATATCTTACCTGGATCATGTATCTCTCACTTAACTCCGGGCGAGCAAGAAGGCGTCATTACAATGATGCAACGTTTAGGGTTGGACAAATGGAAGATTACATGCAGTGAGGATATCCAAAACTTCTTGGATCAAATTGAGTCATTCAAATCGCATCTCTACGCGAAACAAGCCCGACTCAGAGCAGAAGCAGGTTTGCCTGAGCTTCCTCCGCCTGAAGAGTATCAAAATCCCCAGGGAGATGATGATCCTCCTCTACAAGATACATCTTCATTTCCAGAGGTATCACCAAATTATCTTCTTACCTCCGATCATGGAGGACCGATCTTTGGTCAGGATCCAAGAGACTATCGCCTCGTAGGCAAGGGTCACTCGCATTATCCAGATGATGTGTCTTTCATACCAGTAGGCTCGGAACAAGAGGTCGTTGCAAGTCAAAAGTTGCCAGCTCAAGAATTCAACTCGCAACTTCGTCCTCCACCTCTCATTACCCAACATTTTCGTCCTCCAACTTTCCAATCACATTACGGTATGCAAAATCAGCAAGGCCATCCATTGGTTCATCCAAGTGATCTACTTCATCCATCGATGGATCAAGGCATGGATAGACCTTTGGATTTCTCGTATCAACCTGTCGAATTCAATGGTGGTCCACCACAGCAATATCATCACGATGGTTATGCGAGTCAAACACAGCAATACCATCACCACGGTCAACCTTTTGAGTACAGCTCCTTTCATGGTTATTCCCCTCGCTCTCTCCATCTCTATCCAAGTAACAACGCTGACCAAAATTCCCATCCAGCTCCACCCCCAGAAACAATTGAAGAGTACGAGGAAGACGACGAACAGCAAGAGGAGGTAACAGGTACTGAGTCTCAGTCTCAGACCGCAAAACAGGAACAGAATCAAGAGCAATCCGAACCCCCACAACAAGAAAACCAAACCGCAGAATCCGAAAGCGAACTTGACTCCGACGGTTGGTCTATTCACGCTGAGGAAATGCGTTCTCCACCACCAAACATCTATTCCATCCCCCAACCCGCAAATATGCCGCCCTCGCCTCCACGACCACCACCTCGTTTTCCGAGTAACGAGATCAATCCCTTCGAAGCGAGAAATAAGCCTCCTCCGATTATTGGGCCTGGAAATCGCGTGTGGAGTACTGCTCCGGGTGCGTTTGATGAGAATGGGGTTATTAGAGATTGGGATATGGCAGAGAGAAGAGAAATTGTTGAGGGGAACTGCGGATGCAAGGGGTTGTTTCATGGGGATGGGAAGGGGTTTTATTATGTGGATGGTGGTGGGGAGAGAATTTGGTGTGATGGGGGAGAAGGGGAGGATGCTATGGAGGAAAGTGGAGAAGAGGGAGACGATGAGGACAATACTGAAGATGAAGGGGAGGAAGATGAACAGTTAAGAGGAGTCCCGACATGGGTTAAGCAGGCATTAACTCACGGGCCAGAATTAGATAAGGATGAGGAGAGAAGAAAAGAAGTGGAGTATCGAGCAATGATGGCGAGGAAGGTGAAAGAAATACTCGCTAGAAAGAAAGCGAAGGAGAGAGGGGAAATTCCAGGATTTGGTTTTGATGGGGATTTTGAATCGATGGATGTCGAGTCATTATTTGATGATGCTGAGCACTTTGAGGGATATGATGCGAATCAATTCGATCCAAAGTCAACCGGTAAAGGGAAACGCAAAGCGAGAACTGCTGATTCAGAGGAGGATCTCGATGAAGGCTCACCAGTCAAGAAGTGGAAAGGAAAGGGGAGAGCTGCGGAATCAGATGAAGAATTGGATGAGCAGGAGGTTGCTAGGAAATATGCTAATAAGGAGAAGAATAAGGGGAAAGGAAAAGGTAAAGTGTTCGAACTTCCAAAGGAAACGGGAGTTGAAGATTATCTGTTTGGAGATTCTGCAGAAACGGCTCGATGGGCTGAGGGGTTGGGTCTCCAGCCTCTCGGGAACGAAGAGGAAATAGAAGAAGATAATAACGATCATTTCTACGAGAACACGAATCCTTCACTGGGTGGCTACGACACCACACGATATCCCAATAACTCCGAACTTGAACATGAATCCGCCACCGCAGATCCTGAGCTCGCAGCAACCGGCATTATCCTCCCGGCCACATTTCCAAATCCCTCCCATCCCTCTTCCGAAGAAGAAATCGAAGCCATCCCCCGACCAGCACCCTACCTCTCTCTCCGCAACCCCGGCCCCTTCAACATCTTCCAATCGCTCCTCCTCACCCCCGAAATAATTCTCGAATTCATGCTTCACCTCTCCCCCAAGAACCTCCTCACACTCTACTCCATCTGCCGACCCTTCCACACCATCCTCTCCCACTGGATGGCGCACGCCATAAAATCCATCGTCAAACACCAAGCCCCCTACTCCTACACCATCTACCCCTTCTACCTCTACCGCGAGCTCAGCATCCCCGACCCCCTCGGCACGCTCCACTCCTCCGGTCAAATCCGCCGCGTCCCCAGCCTCAAATACCACCAAATGGTGCTCCACCGCTGCCGCGTCGTCCGCGACATCCTCGCCTCCCTCGCACGCCACCGTCTGCGCTGTCCCCCCGGTACAAACCACTCCCTCAAAAAAGTCTGGTTCCTCATGGACCTCTCCACAACCCTCGACCGCGTCCGCCTAATCCACAACCGCACCTTCTTCACCGACCACGATCTCTACAACATCCAACACTTCATCGTGAAACTCGACATGCGCCTCAACTGTCCCACCGACGGACCCGGCTCCGATTTCCTCCGCAAACTGATGCTCGGCCAGCGGGGTCTCACCCCGCTCTTCCGATTACTAACTCGAACCGGTTTTACAGATCTCTACGAACTGTACCAATACAGCGTACGCTATTCCTACACTCCCCTCACCCCGGCCCCCGATCTGCATCTCGGACTTTTCGACGTCCCCGCGAATGAAATCGGGATCGCGCATCTTGAGGGCTGGGGAAAAGGATCCAAACATCTCATGCGCATCGATGAGCTCGTGATGCGGGAAGCGACGCGCAGAGAATTGGGATTCAAAGAACACATCATGATGATGTTGCTCTGGGGCTATGTGGATCCGCTGACGGGGGAGAATCTGCAGCCGAGCAGTGAGGAAATGTATATGAGTGATGGGGAGGGCCAGGAAGCGGAGAGTGAGGGGGATCCGTGGGAGGGGACGGGGATGAATATGCAGAGGTTGGAACAGGTTGTTTTGGGGAGGGCGGAGGAGAGTGATGCGGATGAGGATGAGGATGAGGAGCAGGAGGGAGAAGAGGAATGGGAAGATGAAAATGAATTCGAAGATGATCCTTGGCTGTGAATTTATGAGTTTGATTCGGCGAAAAGGAAGTTGATCTTCTGAAATACATAAACATGAATAGCTTGAGGCTATTATACTATATCAGGTGAAAAAACAGAAAAGAAACATCCACATACCTTTTTTTGTCAGATATCTATTGTACTATAGGGAATATCCATATGAATAATTCACTGCTGAATACCTACCTGATTATCAATCCTAATACAAAACATACATACCCTACCCCAATAATACTCTACCAAAAAAAGAACACAGTAATACATCCCAATCTCCATCCATCCTTCACATCTTCCACCAGCACATCTCCCACCAGCACATATAAACCTCACCCTGGAAGCCCAGGATCAATAAATAATCCATTCATCCAATTCAGCCTTCAATTTACAAGAAATACCACACACTCACTCTCTTCATTCAAACCTTCCAACCTTCCAATCTCCAATCTCCAATCTCCAATCTCCAATCTCAATCTCAATCTCAATCTCAATCTCAATCTCAATCTCAATCTCAATCTCAATCTCAATCTCAATCTCAATCTCTCAAAAGTATTCAGAATTCCCCCTTCAACTCAAATTCCATAACCACCAAACTACCTAGATCAAAACACTCCGTCCTCACAAGCACTCACTACATCGTTAAAAAGAAACCCGAAAATCTCTCTTAGTTCACAGAAGAACACCAATCATAGTAGGTAGTGTGTAGTAGTAATCACAAAAGTCACCATCACAGCGAGATATAAAGTTCCAAAAAGTTCAACTTCAACCATATGTATTCATTGGAGAAGCAGAAAAAAACGAGAAGTGTTATCTGCATCCTTCAGCCTATCTACTATACTACTGATTTTACCAATCCAGCAATTCACTCCTCTCCTCTAGATCCCATCACCTCCATCCACCACCACACAATAGAAATCGACGCACATCGTAACACACCACCGAAAAACAGAAAGAGTAGACACGAGGAAAAGTAAGCTTGCTACAATGAAAGAAATAATAACAACCTAATCACATCCATCCATCCATCCATCCATCCATCCGTCCATGCATACCATCCCCTAACCATCGACCGTCATCAGACTGTCCACACCCATCCAATAAACCACCATCCATCCATCCGTCCACCCCATCCATGCCCAAGTACCCCCAGCCCAGCGATCAAACGATCAAACCTTCTAGCAACCCAGCCCCAAATGTCCTAAATATCCACCTACACCCCCACCCAAACTAACCAATTACCGTATCAGTAAAGAAAACGATAAATGCTTGAATGCTAGTATGTGTTTTCCCTTCTCCCAGAAATGTTACGAAGGAAAAAAAAAGACAGGAGAAAAGACGCAAAGTATTCGACACAAAGTGCTGGAGAAGCCGAAACAAGGTAAAGACAACTTCATCGCGAGCACACACACAAACCGAAAGGAGAAATACAAGAAAGCGCAATAAAGAAACTTGAAAACAACATGCAGAAATCCTAACCCTTCTCAAAAAATCCCCTTTGCCAATATCCATCACCATCGCCATCGCCATGCTTTTTTGTGATTTGATCGAAAATGCGTTCGTCATATTTCCATACTCCGGTACGAAGAAGGAAGATCAGACCAGATATTAGACAGAGAAGACCGAGGACCCCGTCCAAACACCCCAACCACATTAACGACAGCACTCCTTCGCTATGCACCAAGCCAAGAACCAACCGATTCAAGTCGAAATCGTCCCTTTATACACCATCAAGCATATTTCGATCCGTTTCCATTTGCTCGCTTTCCCTTTGCAGCCCTGAAGTCAGAATCCACCTTCCGCATTAAAAGAACTCCGCCCTCCAAACTTTGTTCCATGTCAATTTTCCACATCATATAAATTTTCCCTGCCATTTTCTTTATACCGCTACCGATCCAACCGACTACCCATCCCAACCACCCATGTATGCGCTAAATCCACCTTATAAACCATTGTAACAAATCCACAAAGCCCCGACCGATAAATGTCTATCTTTCATTCAAACCCCAAAGCCATCCTGAAATATAGTCACAGAAGAGATAGTCGAAACGTATAAATGGAAAAAGGATGAGCGCAAAGACCAAGAACGCCTTAAGCTGGAGATTTGCTTGGAGCAGCAGCACCATTTTGACGAGCATCACCGCTACCCATAGACAAGTTGTTGATTCCAGATGAAAGGAAAGCGAATGGATCACTTTCACCTTGGTTAGCATAGAAATTGTTCGAAGGCCCTGCGGATGCTGGACCATTGCTGGCTGATTGGAATGCTGCCTCTGCAGATCGGCTATCAAATCCTCCTGCGCCGGCAGAGTGAACACCAGTTGCAGGTCCGAAGTGAGTATTCAATGAGGGGTATGAGCCAGTTGGTGCGCCAAGACCGGATGGAAGAGCATAAGTGCTAGGTGGGCCACCAAAGTGTTGACCACCATAACCACCGGATGGACCGAAGCCACCAGCAGCTGAGGCAAAAGGACCTGGACCAGGTGTACCAGCCATGGAGTTGGAACCCATGCTATAGTTGTTCGCAGCATCCATTGGGGAAGGATAACCAGAATCGGCAACGACAGCGGCACCAGCACGACTTGCGCCACATCTTAAACAGCTGACATTCTTGGCAAAGTTGTGGTAACCACACCCTTCAGATCCGCACTTCCAATCACCGGCACGGAAAGGAACAACGCCACCACTACCACCCATCCTTCCACCTCCGTGGCCACCTCCCATACCTCCGTGATGACCCATGTGTTGTGGAGGGGGCATCATTGCTGGTGGACCATAGCCGTAACCACCACCACCACCACCATATCCACCACCCATCTCAGCAGCTGGGCCACCACCCATGGCTGGGAATGAGCATCGGAAACAAGCAGTTCTACGCTGGAAGTTAGAGAAACCACATGATGGACATGTCCAGTCTCCAGGGCGAGGTCTGTTCTTGCTAGGTGGGAAAGGAGTAAGAATTTCTGCAGCACGGTCAAGAACGCGACTTGAAGATGGTGAAACCTCGATAGCTTTCTCATTGAGAGCTCGTCCATTCATGCAGAGACTTTCAGCGGCCTGAAATTGTGTTAGAGAATGACCACGAATGTTAAAAAATTTGATAAGTGAAGCAACAGAGAGACTAAGCAATTTATCGTAAAGTAAAAGAATGAATTCATAAGAAGCGGAAACCACGATTTGATGTTCGTGGCACAACACACAAAATAGGAAAAGATGAGTGGGGGAATTTTGGCTGACCTCTTCATGGGATGAAAATACTGCGAATCCAGAACCAGTAGGTTTGTGCTGATCTGGGGTTCGGAGCGTCCAGAAAGCAATGGGGCGACCACCGAATTGGGTGAACCAGCTCTCGAGCTCAGATTGAGTGGTATCATGGGGAAGTCCTGCCATGTGAAGAACTTTGCTGCGTTCCGAAAGAAAAGCTCTAACATCAGCACGGGCATCCATAGGTCTGGTAAGAACATCAGGATGTTCATGGGGAGGTTGTGACTTGCGAATCAACCCTCTGAGGACTCTAGCAAGTGTAACCGCTTCTTCCATTGCACGACGAGGGGAGGCCGGGGCCAAAGCTTGGAGGTGGAATGGGAGGTTGTGCTTGATTGGAGCACTAGCTTGAACAGGTTCGACTTCCAACGCAGCGCAGATATTTGAAAGCATGGATGGACCGAATGGCAGAGATTCAGGGTGATGCTGTTGCCATCTTTGGTACTCAGTTCGAAGGTCAAAAGTTCTAGAATGTTGTAAATACGGAGGCAGCACAACAGCTTTGTCACGAGCTTCGCGGGGAAGCTGGACTCGAAGATCCCATGAATCAAGTGTAACAAAAGAGAAGTCTAAATTTTGAGATGTGAGGTGCTCGGCAGCAAACGTATCGAATCGGTTGATCGCATCGCGGAAGGTACCTGCAGTACGGACATGTTCCCAAGTAAGAGTAGTCAAGCTCGCTGTAGATATTTCGTTAGCCAATATTCGGAAGGATCGGTATCAAGATCGTCCTGAAGGATTGAGGTCCGTATCTGATAAGATGGTTCCGTTCGGCACTTACTACATAGAGGAGTGATTGGAGTGTTGATGGGCTTAACAAGAACACTCTCTCGGTGAAGCTGGGAAATTTCTTGATTAGCAAGTTGACTTCGGCAGATAGTTGGAAGCTAAATTAGGATGAAAACTCACCTCGTCACAAGTTTTTGCGTCGAGTAAAATCCACCCAAGCTCTATCACCTCAGCGGAATCTTTGGTAACGTAAACGCCATGTTCATCGCAAGTGGTAGCAACGTGAATGACAACATATCGATCTAAGTTGCCTTGCTGGCCTTGAATAGCTGTCGACATTTTTTTTTGGAAGCTTTAAAAGTGTGCGAAGTATAGGAATTGAACTATTCTTCCGAATTGAGAGATGAGTTGTTGGGGGGAGGGGGGTAGTTGATGTAATCGATGGGACCTCCGAAAAACGAATAGGAGGGTAAGGAAGAGGTGTAGAGGTGAAGAGGTGAAGAGGAGAAGAGGTACTCGGCAACCAGATTAAGAACGAAGAGAAAAGTTTCCAGATATGTGCTTTAACCTTAGGTATTCAATATCTAACCTTCGGGAAAGGAAGGTTGGTTGAGAATTGGAGAAAAGAGGGAAAGGAGGATGTGGAGCTAAAAAATCTTGTGGTAAACGGTAAACAGCGAGTTGGAAATTTGACGGGCAGGGAACATTTATTATTATTATTATTTTAGCGGGACGAGAAAAGAAGAGTCTTGTCAGTGAAGAGGAGCTTTGGGATTATAATATGGAGTGAAGAGTGAAAGAAGAGAGGATGAGATGTATAAATATTATTGAATATTAAGTATTAAGTATTAATAAATAATAAATAATCAATATTGTATTTTTAATATGAATGTAAATATATAGACAACTCAAATTACACTTTGCTTGTATATTAAATCAAAAAAAGAATATTGCGTACGACATTCATCACATTACAGATTAATTATTTATATAATATACATAGGTATATACACA